CCAAACTCTCAAAGGTAAATAACGAGCCGCCACAACCATGAAAACGCACGAGAGCCAGCACGCGAAAGGGTCGTGCTTCGCCGGCACTGCTTGGTGAACCAGTGCAGGCTCGCTTTCATGGGATCGACATGTGGGTCAGCGGGAAAGCAAACTGTTTACCAGTACCCGGCAAAGTGGAAAAAATGCCCTTACTCTAAAATTTTTGGAGTTTGAGGTTCAAATTCGGCAAGATTGCAATGGGTGCCTTTGCCGCTATGACCTGGCGTACCTATGATCTTCATTGGTAGACTAACACAGCCGCTTTGCGAGACTTTGATAACTATAACAGCTGTCTCAAGGAAGCGATCAGAGCTATCAAGAGCAAGAACAGAAGGTAAGAAGTTTCGCTTCCACGATCGTATCGTAGCTTGCAAAGTCAAGCTTGAGTCGACGCTCTAATCCGACGTATGCTTTACTGAATCTGGATTGCAAAGCTTTGGAACGGGCGAGTCGCTGTGTTTTTTTCACCCGGTACAGGGATGTTTGCGATTCTTTCGGTACTCTCGCCAACATTCAAAACCCAAAGTATGATCTCAACGGAGAGGAGATTTCTGTATCGGAAATTGCCCGTCCGTGTACACACACTTACTGAAGAAGGCTCAGGACCCATCGCGTGTTGCTCGTTACCAGCGAGCCATTGACTTAAGTCAAAAGGAGGAAAGGTGAAGTCAGTAACTTCTAGAATGTGTGACCTATTGGGTCAGAAGGTGCTGGCAGGATGGCGCCTTTTCGGTGATCATTTTGCTCTTGGCTGGAGCTGAAGGCCTGCATGCATAGGCGTGTAAGGGGCTCCGCCCCAGCGCGACAAGATGCGATTAATCGTTTGACACGATACTTACGAAGTGATGAGACCGGCAAGTGTCGGTGTGGCTTTTGCACTTGCATACAAGCAAGCTGGACCTTCTTTGTATGGCGGAGCGCAGGAATTAGTACCGGTAGTACTACCGATATCAATATCACGTTTCGAGAAAATATCTTTTTCTTGTCAACATGTCAGCGTCGTTTGTTGGCGCCATCGATCAAGGAACCACAAGCTCGCGCTTCATTGCGTTCGATCATAGTGGCAAGATACTGGCCACGCATCAAATAGAACACAAGCAGATCTACCAAAAACCAGGATGGTGTGAGCACGATGCTGAAGAGATCATGCACAACGTCGAGACGTGCGTGCACGAGGCGCTGGCCAAAAGCAGCATTCATCTCTCGCAGCTACAGGCCATTGGCATTACGAATCAGCGCGAGACGTCTCTGATATGGGACCGCGTCACTGGCAAGCCGTTTTATAATGCTATCGTGTGGCACGATACACGCACCATCGAGATCGTCCATCGCCTTAAGAATGGAGAAGGTGAGGGTTTCTTGGACACAGGTGCTGACCGATTTCGCACCATCACGGGCTTACCGATCGCCACTTACTTTTCAGCTGTTAAAATTATGTGGATGCTTGAGAACGTTCCTGGCCTAAGAGCTAAGGCCGAGTCTGGTAACGCTCTCTTTGGCAATATGGATACGTGGCTTATCTGGAAGCTCAGCGGGGGCGCTAACGGTGGCGTGCACGTAACGGATGTGACAAACGCCTCGCGCACGAACCTTATGAATTTGGTATCCCTTCAATGGGACGACGACATTTTGAAATGCCTAAACATTCCTAAATGCATGCTACCAGCTATAAAGTCTAGCTCCGAAGTGTACGCATCGGGCCACAAAGATAGTGTGATACCTGATATTCCAATTTCGGGCGACTTAGGTGACCAGCAGGCAGCTCTTTTCGGCCAGACTTGCTTCTCGCCAGGGGATGCTAAGAACACGTACGGCACAGGCTGCTTTTTTATGATGAATACCGGTCTCAAGCCCATGCCCTCGAACAAGGGCCTGCTCACGACTGTGGGCTATAAAATTGGTGACCGACCGCCTATATATGCACTAGAGGGGTCAATTTCATATGCTGGATCTCTTGTTCAGTGGCTGCGAGACAATTTAAAGCTGATCAAGAGTGCACCTGACGTCGAAAAATATGCTAAGAAAGTTAAAGACAATGGTGGCGTCTACCTCGTTCCAGCTTTCTCTGGTCTATTTGCACCTCGCTGGCGTAACGACGCGCGTGGTGTCATGGTCGGTCTGACCTCCTTCGCCAACCGCGACCATGTTTGTCGCGCTGCTCTAGAGGCAACAGCTTTTCAGACACAAGAAGTAGTTGCGGCTATGGAGGCTGACAGTGGTGTACATTTGACCAAGCTTAAGGTGGATGGTGGTATGGTGGTGAATCAGACGTTGATGCAGTTCCAGTCAGATGTGCTGGACGTGCCAGTTGTGTGTCCAGTAATTGCAGAGACAACAGCACTGGGGGCCGCCTATGCCGCCGGTCTTGCCGTGGGATTCTGGAACGATATTGAGGAGCTGCGCGAGAAATGGCAAGTGGGTTCCACTTGGAATCCAGACATGGAAGCCAAGGACCGAATTTATCTCTTATCACAGTGGAACAAAGCCGTCGAACGGACACTTAATTGGGAGGAGCAATAATAAGCTCAGACGGTGGTAGGAAGTTGTGCATTTTTTTCGGATGGTGACGTGAAAGCAGTTTAAAAGACAACAATCAATGTATTTGTTCAACGTTAAGTCAGAGTTTCATCTACATGAAAGTTTATCGACAATCAGTGCGACTTTACAATGTGCCGTATGAATTTAAAGCGCGGGTACTGATACCGCAGTCACGTGTCAGCCGTAGTTGTTGCAGTCGGCACTGGGACATTGTACTTTTTTAACAGACTTGAAAGCCGCTCAGTCGAATATTCCCAACGCGGAAAATTTAAAGTTGTATAAGCCAGAGACTCTCGCTTGGTTGCAGGGAGAAAAGCATCAGATAGCTGACGGTTCGAGGGGGCGATGGTGATTTGTTGATTGTTGTCATGTTGTACTGCTACTGCTTGCAAAGGTCTTGAAAAGTCTACGCATTTCTCCTCGCTTTTTAAATCGAGTTGTGGTAAGAGCCCGCTCGCCCATGACACAGGTTTGATTTCAGCTGTCAACGAAGTCGACCGGTCAACAAAATGATACGAGGTTTGCGGTGACGCAATCTTGACCTTGCAAAGTGCTTTACTCATCTCTCGCCGATTAACTTCATCAAACTGGTTGTTTTTCTTGTAATGCTGAGGGTTAAACTTGCCTATTTGTTTTCCTATCTTCAGTGATCGAAGCTTGGACAATTTTCGTTCAATGGTCTGACATTTAAGCTTATTCTTCGTTTGTGTAGTGATTGCCGTAACTGCAAGTTGTTCAGAATTCAAGTTCACTTTTCTTGACTTTGTCGTATTGACACTCGAGCCAGCAGCAGTAACAGGATTGGAAAGTAAAAGACGTCTAGGCTTATGACCTTCGACAAGTGGTGAAAGATCCTGCGCGTAACAAGCCAATACCTGTTTTCGTCGTTCTAATGAGTTTGTTGGATGAGAGCTAGATCTGTCTTTGCTTGCAATACTATGTACTGTTTCATCGTGCTTACTCACTGTTTTCGAGATTTGGACACTCAATTCAGCGGTAGGTTCAGACTTTCGCCTTCGTGGCTTCAGCTTTTTCTTAACGTAAGCCCCATCCTGTTTCGAGCAACTCGTTTTCCCTCCATCCAAATATTGCTGAAGCTTAAGCTCCTCTTCTCGCTTGCGGCACTCTTGGATGATCAAAAAGTGTTTCCGCCGCCGTCGAGCAAGCTTTCGCTCAACAGCAAGTGCCTCTTCCTTGGCTTGTTTTGTCGCCAAAAGACTCTGTCTCTGCTGCTGCAAGACTTGTTGTTGACTTTGTAAAAGCTGTAGTTGATCTTGACACTTTGCTTCAGCTTTTACAAGGAGACTCAACTTTGGTAGCGGTGATAGCGCTCGACTTCCACTACTGTGAACGGCAGTGAAATTGTGAGTTTTGCCCGACAAATGCTGAAAGCAAGATGTGCACAGCAACGTGGGCTCAGATAAGTCGGTCCTGTCTTCAAGTGGCGTTTCCGAAATCAACTGAAAACACCTGACACAGCATAACGTCGATTTCTCGTGCGTATCAGTGTCAATCGTAGATTCGAATTGTGAGTCATCAAGATGATCACTATCTTGTGAATGCCGCGTAGCCGCAATAGATCGCTCAGTGCGCTGCCGGGACATCTGCTAAAGACGAAGGCCACCAGCGCTTACAAACATGTACCTTACGTTTATAAATACATCAATCTTAACTAGTAAGAATAGATTTTTTGATAAATGTAAAGAAAGTTGACGGTGAGATTTCTTACTGACAATTGAATCTTTGACATTTAAAAATACAAGGATTAGTATAATGATATCTATCGTCATGCTTGATTATTTACAAATTCAGTGGTTATACAGAGAAGTACTATTCTACCGTCTTTTGCAGGATTTGCTTGTCCAGAGCGTGGCTTGCTTAGCACATCAGTGGATTGCACATACTCAATCATGGACGTTTTATATGTATAGCTGCAATTTCTATGTAGCAAATAGCAACTTAAGGTGGTGTATAAACATGTTCGCTTACAGTGCAGCCTAAGTCAAATAGTAAAATTGACGATACTGGCTTTAACTTTCCGGCTTTTTCTGACCTTCTTGAAGTCCCACAATACCAACCCGCACAAATTAAAATTTCTTACACATCCAAACTAAAAACATTGCATAGAATCTACATCTACAGCTTGCGTAACAGTTTACTCTAAGGTCACTTGTTGTTGACAATAATTGCCTAAGCTGAAAGCCACCAATAACGTCGCCATACTTTAACTACTTGTTCACTTCTTTCTACCACTTAAACAATCTCAAGAACAGGAGGTATATCGTCCTCTTTTTCTTCATCCTCCTCAACAACAACCGATCGACGTTCGGTTCTAGGTACTTCTCGTTGGTCATTTTTGGGCGTAGGCAAAATTAATTCGTAAGCCATGTCCTCATCCGAATCATACGAAAAACTCGAAGTGTGTGACGAGACTGCTGCCACTGACGATCGGATGGACTCATCCACACGGTCAGTAATCTCCACAACCCGAATATCAAACGGGATGGTAGATGCTAAGCTTGCTCGATTGACTGGCGCGCTAGTTCTTGTTGTTGCCAGTTGTGACTGCTGGTTTAATGACTGTGCCACCTGAATTTGTGCTAGCTTGTGATGTAGTCTTTCATCATCACCGCCACCTCGCTTGACATCCTCACGCCATGAAGCTAAACGCAGCGACAGTCGACAACGCCGCGCCTGATACATGCGGTAGGCGCCGTTAATGCCTACATCTTCGCGTTGGGGAGGCTGCTCTAGTTCTTGTAGCGTACGCAAATCTGCCTCATCGTAGTGCACACGGCGTGAGAAGATATCACTGCAATTCTTGCAGTAGCTGCGACGCAGTCGCTCCCGATATGCTGCGCTTTTCCAGAGCTTGAGCAGGAAAGGCGAGAGTGCAAGAGCAAACAAAAATGCGAGAATGATGTACTGCAGTAGGTTGCGAGTGTTGTCATCGCCACTTTCGGCCATGGCGACTTGAAAGCCACAGAATGGAAGTTGCTTAATTTACGTAAAATTCGGAAATGTCTAGGTTCAAGCAAGTGATAGAAAAATAATTTTGTCCATCTTTATGCAGCCGCTAGATAAAGTGAAGTGGGAACATATGGTACTACTTCTATTTATTCACACATAACTCCATGACGATTTTATTAACAACAAATTGCATTAAAAAATACGGAAATAGATTATATGTAGTAAAAGATAAGAAAAGCAAAGCCCAAACAATTAAAAGCTGCTAAGTATTATTTTTGATACCGGAGTAAAAATGACAATATATTGCTCAAAGTTGCAGAGAATATGTTCAGCTAGCTGCAGACCTGCATTGAAATGGCTCGATTCGTTTTCTGGACTTTCGGAGATGAGACCAATAGTAAATTAAAAGTAAGGTCTTCAGAGTGTACCCATGGAAGACTGAGTACGTATGGAGCCGTGACTAGGTCAGTCGTTATTGCTTTGCGTATCTGTGACCATGGAGCCGTTCAGTATGGCGCACAAAACAGCCAACTTCTTTAAAAAAAGACTTGAGCTTTTATGGTAATATATCAGGTTTCTATAAATTGATACTTGTCAAGCATACACTAATATGCTAAGGCCTTGCTAGCAGAATAATTTTTATACATTCCCTCTGATCGAATGCCGCGGACCTCGCATAGATGATAGTCTCGCCTCCCCCCCCAGAGAGTAAAGGTAGTTGTTAATATTTAAGAGTGACGTATACAACGAAGTTAGACTAAATTTATCCGATTTACTATCCAGAGTAATGAAACCAGCATATGTGCTGTTCCCATAAGCATATCAAGCGTGTTTAAACGTTCCGACGACAAATAGTCGAACAACTCTTTACCGATAAAAACTTGAACATCATATTGACGACAAGTGCTACTGCAACACGGTTGCCGTTTTAACTTAAAAGATGGGTTTGTACTGGTCACATCCGATAGCCTCTCAAGCTCACTTAAATTCAAGTAAGTTAGTGTGACTGATATAAAGCCCTATGTATGGAATCAGGTGAGGCTAGCAGAACACGTTTCATACGTACCTGGATTTCCATCCCCCATCCGTACTAGCACTAATCAAAATACTTTCTCATAGTACCAGAATTTGGTACCTCTGACGATATTGTAAGGTGTACGAAGGCCAAAATAGGTCTGTACCTTCATACTCATTTTGACTCTCAAAGACAGTTCAACCCAATGCGCCGGAGGTCTTTTCCCCGTCATTGCTCCTTACACTGCTTGCTCTTACGAGCGTAATTTTAGTCAGAAGTTTTTCTTTCATGTGTCCACATGGCGCAGACTCCCCAGCCGAGCGTAGGTGAAGCCAGAAAGTGTGCCAAATGATTAAAGCAACTTTTGCCAAAGTAGGAATTTGACCTCTTGAGAGTTCTCTAATTACAGTGATCGCTATCACATCATCAGATACTAATTACAACTCTTACCGGCCCACTATCAGCTCTACGTCAAAGTAAACACTCCTCACTTAACGAAAATTGCCGAAGAAAGACGACTTCTCCGCGTTTTCTTTCGGGTGGTGCATCAATTATAGCGGCACGTCGACTTTCTATAATAGTCTCGCTGGGAAACCAATACTGTCATAGGTCGTATTCAAGATGCGCTCTCTAAGCTACTTCAAAAATTGGAGTGATCACAATTCCCCACAATTCGAGTGATCACAATTCAGAACGAAATTGCAGCTCAACAGCAGAGGGTTCCTTAGCTGCAACGGAAGGTTAAAATGTTGTTTTCCTCCACATAGCGCTTAGCATCCGAATGGGATCACATCATGGCTTAAGCAGTTTCAAGTGCAACAAAGGATGTAAGTCCCATTGGAATATTGAAACTGTAGCTTCATCCCCTTCTGGCTGAGACCGTAAGCGGTCCGATGTAGTAGTCTACAGACACTAAAAGAGAAAGTATAGTACTGTTCAGTAATACCTATCAATTACTACATATTGATGTGGGATACGTCTGCCTCTGGCATCTATGCGATATTTTGCATATTTTGCCTCAAAGGATAACGTCGCGCACACGGCGCTGTATGCTCACTCTCATCGAGATAAAGTCCTCAATTTTGCAACAAGAGATAGCTGGGCTAAAACCTGCAAGTAGAATTATGTCAACAGCTCTTCCTATTCAACACGAATTTAGTGAGTGCTGTATCAGCACCGCGGTCTCGTCGGAGATATATTTCACCATGAATTCGTCTGAAGATTTTTCTGGAGTTGGTCAGTGGTGTAATTTGATACCAGGCTTTTAAGAAAATTCGCCGGGACTTCGCTGCAAAGCACGGATTTTAATTCACGGTATTGGTCACTAGATTTTCTGTTGGCAAAATACTAATATAACTTTAGCGAACACAGCTCGTCACATTAGAACACATGTTACTCAAACGATGATATATCGCCTCATCAATGCGCGACGTCACCAAATATTCATGGGCTCGGTCTGTGTTGTACCCCAAAGGTATACTTGGCAAGAAAGAATAACCCTCTTGACAGTCTCTGATATAGAGTGGGTGACAACGTTGCTGCGCGCAACGTCGCATGATCTGGATTGCTCACAAGTAAAATTAGCCAGAATTTGATAATGGTTTACTTCATTTCAAGTAGCTCCTTGTCTTTATCATTATATTTTTTTAAGCTCAACTCATAAGCGATGACGCGTTTAAGACCACATGTATCTGTTTAGAGTTTAGTACAGCCTGCGATAAATCTCAAAAGGCCCGAGAGGGCAAGAAACGGTCAATCTGGATTAGATCCTGATTGGTGGTCACATGAGGCTGTTTCTCAAGGCCTTGAAGACAGTCCCTTATGCCACACCCCAGCACCATTTGACGTCTTTCTTATGAAGTTTGGTGACGGTCTTGCCGTATCGACGTAATATGCACTACACTGGTGCAGGTAGTTGGCCAAGGCAAAGCCACTTCTTAAAGTCCCTTCTGGACAGATGCACCGGCCAATGCCAATAACATTAATCTTTGCGGGATCCCCTCGCATGCCAAGTGACCGTACAAAGCATCCCAAAAAGGGATGTCCGTCGGCACCAAAACACAACTGTCTCTCACTTGTTGATTTCCATGCACAGGTCTGTGTATACGCAATACGGTCGTAACAGCTGCGTCACCAGACATCAGGACACCACGGATGAGTAAGGCAGACCCGGTGGCAAAATCAACCAATCCAAATACATTCTGCTCAAAGCTTTCCCTGAATGTCACTAACTTCACAACACACTGACATTGCAAGTGTGTTGGGGACAGATATTCCTTCCAGTTGATTTGAGGGCGACCACCACCTGTGGTGTCCACATTATCCATAGATGAATCCATCGAAGTAGTCGGCGTTGGAATGACTACTAGTACTGCTAAGAGAATCGCCCGTCCCGCACTTACTGAGGAGGACTTAAATCAGTTAACAAGCTTCACCACGTGTTACTCACTTCCAGCGGGTCGTTGATTTACTTGAAAGAGGAGACGATGTAAAGTGACATTTATCATGGCCAATAAGCCTTAACCCCCTCCTAAAATGATTAGTGCCTCCAAATTCTGATATAAAGTTGAGAATTATGGTCTATATTTTGTGTTGACCACGCACAAGTATGGCTCACACAACATTGTATAATGGGTCTGGCGCATTACATCAACCATCTATGAAATCATGCATGTCTTGTTTGTCTCTGGCATCTACATGTTGCTTTTGCTCATCGTGGCTCGCAGTCATGGCGTCGTACACTTGGTCTATGATGCTATATATTATCAAAATGATCTCTTTTTATCATGACCAAGCCAACTCACGTTCTTGAATTCTTCGGGATACTGGTACTGGTCTTTGCGGGATCTTGCCGCAGATCATTCTTATGAAATGGGTTTCACGTAGTCATTACATAATGGTATATATATGTACCTTTTGTATGCATTGTGTGACTTAAAAAGATGATTTCAGTATAGTGTTCTCAAATGTGTATGTGACTTCTTATATGAAGTTACAAACATTTTGTGTGAAACAGAAGGTTGGTTCCTACTTAGGGATCTGACTTGGTGAAGAGACCGATGTGTCTCTGTCTTTCGAAGTGGGTGGCGTAAGCCACTCCCTTCTACTAGACACTTTCCACGAATGTTAAACAAGCTCCGTCACCCAAGATCTTGTATAGGTTGAAGCTACGGTTCATCCTCAGTACACCCTTGACTTATAAATCAGGAGCCCATGTTTTTATTCTTAGGACATCTAGGAGCCCTTGGGGTGTTTTGCGTGTAGCTAGAAACCATAACTCATTTAAATTTAGCTGAAAATTTACTTCAAGGTATTAGGTCGTTCTTCTTTCCTCCAAGTCGGGGTGTCCTTCTCCTTCCATGATGGGAACCACTTCCTCGCCACACGAGCGTGTGAACTGAACAAAAGTGTAAGCTGTATGTACATAGTAGTACATCGGAAACTCCGTTGCATCCTCCCCGCCACGACGCGGATACACTGAGGTTCAAAGTGCTTTGAATTTCTTACGAAATCGCGCAAAACTTTACACTCAGAGATCAACACTTGCGCTTGGAGTTTAATCTCACATTTTGCACCCTGTTGTGCCTGCTGCTTAGAGCAAATTCACATCAAAAGCTCCCTTTTATTACAGATATGAACTGCAGTCCTCCTAAGGCCATACTTGGCGAAGTGGTCCAATATTTTCTGATGAGAAGATTCACAGCGACCCTTGAGTCCTGACCCAGCATCTCTTCTCTCGCGTAGAGAAATAAGGCCGGCCGCTCACCGAAAATAAGGACTCTGCGCTGCGGCTTTTCTATGCATAAGTTAGAGCTACGGTACCTTTTGCTACGGCAAGTAGCGCTGCGACACCCCTCCTCGAAATTCACAACGATATCCATCTTGTCATAAACTTGGCTCAGGCAGCCCAAGCTGCTTCTCAGCAAGCGCAAGGCCTACGTCGACTCATTCCAAAGTTATCGCGTCGTGATCATGGTCTCAA